AATGCACAACAGATGCATCCGTCGAAACAAACACGTGAAACATTGACGATGCTGCCAATGCAACGTAATGCTATCCCACTTGGAGCAATGAGAGAAAAGCCTTAACTAATCACAGGATTAGGAAACCCCCTCGCCCATCATCAGTACTGGATGCAGTGAAGGCAGTCATCGACTCACACCGTGGTGACCTCCATCAGCCAGACTGCACGTCCACACACGCACACACACACACACACACACCACACGCGTGTAATGACGCAGCAACCGTGGTCAGTCAGGTTGCCTGTCCTCACACCTCCACATTCCCTTTGTTTGCATTTTCCTCTAGCTGGTATGCAGATATGGATAGCCACAGCACAGAATCTGCAGATCACATATTTTGGTAACCCACTTTGTGTCACATGCGTCTTGTTTCACATCAAGTTCAAAAGGCCAATGTTGACTCCCACACATCAAGGCATGTGGCATAAACAGTAGGTATTAGGTATATTTGCAAAATCCTACGATGAGCTAAACAATAATAAACTGCACGGAGGATTCACAGTTTTCAATTGCCAAACAGGCAAATGAACTCGCTGACATTGCTATGGCATAATGACACACATTCTGCAGAAATGCCTGGCAGTAGGGCTGTCAAAGTGTAGCATATTTTGCTTTAGCCACAGCGATTCACTCATCTTCCTGCCATCGACTCACGTGTGCGCTGGTAAGCACTGCACGAATGAGCGACCGTGGTTGTGAATGCGGTCCAGCATCTGCCACTGCATCAATTGCTATCCTGTGTTTCAATGGTGAATTTAATTGGTAATATTCAGTAGCAAACTGAAGGCTTTTCCAAATCATCAGCTCTGCCTTTGTGGGTAATAGGAACTTTCCAATACCGACCCCTATTTTCCAATCAGAGGCACACTAGCAGCTCTTCCCCACTTCATGCTGCTCGCATTCACCATCGTACACGACTACCCAGTTGCTTTCTCCTCATACTGCGTCGTATTGTCGATTGATGTGAACACGCTATATGGCGAGGTGATGGCCAATTCGTAGATAGGGATACCGACTCACCAAACTGAGCTTCCCTCCAATGTGCTAAAGCTTGATAGGTGCGATAACATTCAAAAGGCTCCTACGTCATTCACTGCAAACAAACGGATACAAATTTGTCCCATTTCTTCTGAATTTGTTGCCTTTCGTCAGTTGAGTAATGAAAATAGGAGAACTTGAATCACGTGGTGGAAATTTGCTGAACTGGTGCTTCCCACTGTGCATTCGGTCACATTCCCATTTCCACGTCCCACACCATAGCATACATGCTGCACCTCTCTCAACGAATAAATGCCGTGCTATCACATTCTCCTTCAAATTCATCATTCTCTCCAAACACTTCCCTCATAACACGTCTCCATATTGCATAGCCCAAACTACAACGG